CCGGGGGGAACACGAGGAGCGCGGTTAAGATGTAAGAAAGTCATCTTCGGAGGCAGAGGAGAGGCACGGCAGGTTCGCTGGAAGGCAGGATAGCGACTGGCAGGAGGGAAAACAACCAGGGCTTCTTACATATTTAGGATTTAGGCTTGGAGTGATGCGGTGAGCCAGTAAGCGCTTGTCGAGGCCCGGTGTGCAGATGGGTTTTTGTCAGTGGGTGTCGGAAAGATTGCGGGAATTGCAGTCGGCACCGGGAACACTGGCGGACGAGATTGTCAGCGGGTGTTGGATAAACTGGCGTAAATTCCAGTTGACACCGGGAACGCTGGCAGGCGAGTTAAGGAGCAGTATGATTTGTAACCGCTGGGCCAAGACGGCTATTTGCTTCGCGTCACTCCAACAACCGACGGAAAGCAGAGGGACGACCCTCCCTTGAGGGGGGTCGTTCCGAGAAAGCTACGAAATGTTTTATAGGATACTTTTTCGGCTTCACTCTGGCCGGTCGTGGCAGTGACAGCAAGACTTTTGATAAGTTATGTCGCGTCACGACCTGGCCGGGGATGAGGCGGTAGAATTAGGTGGCTTGTAGTTGTCCAGCTTGCCTTGAGGCGGTGAACGGTTTAAGCGGGCTTGCTCGCTGAGCTACCGCCCCCTCCGAGGACCGAGCAGTCCCTAGAGCTCGTATGCACGTGGACGGAATGGGACGCTGACGCTTACATCGAGTAGCACATGGTATATGTAGCCGTTGCGGAATTGCGGGTATGGTATTTGGTCATCCCGCCACAGGCTTTGGATCCCTTCGATTGCGCAAAAGATGGACTAGGTTTACGCCATCGTTACCTGTTCTGAAGGAAAACTCACGCTTTGAGCAACGCAGCTAGTGGTTTTGCCGCATCGCTTGCTCCGAGATGAGAAGGGCACCCGAGGTACAAAGACGCGTGCGTCGTGTCTTACTTCTAGGCTTACTCGGGGAGATACAAACGAGGAGGCTTGCCCGGTTCACATCGCTGACTTGAAAGGATACTACCGTTGTCGCGATGGGGAAGACGTATAACACGAGGTTGCAGTAGCACAAGAAATCCCTTGTTCTTGGCGACCCACGAGCGAGATCTGGGATGCAGACTTGCTGAGTTAGCCGCATGGTCGACGAACCCGTCGGCAAGCAATTTGGCGGTGGAGGCTATGGTCACTGCCACAATCTGCGGCAGAGTATTTGTTCGTTGTGTGTTGTTTTAACACTTTGTTCTGCGCAGAGTAGCTTCCTGGAGAGATGGCCATAGACGGCGTAACCCAGGAAGCCCACCGGGAGGGAAGACGGGTCCATTCGTTTTCCCAAGTGCTCAGGGTGGCTGACAGTTGTTCGGCCTGACGAACGATTCAGGCGGGCAGTTCTAAGCCCGCTGTGACCTCTAAGCGGAACGGGGCAAGTCCGTCTGCATCGGCCGGACCAGCTTAGAGCAAGCCCCCTGCTGCATCGCGGTGAGTGAGACAGCGAGCGACAGACAGGTCGGCATTGTCTGCCGGCTTCGCTAGCCACCACCACCTACGCCGCTTTCGGACGCTGCAACCTGGCCACTCCGGCAACAGCAACAGCGGTCGCCCATGAAGTCCAGTGGCTCCCTGAGGCCCATGAAGTCCCCCGAAGTCCGGGCCTTGAGGGGGGGAGAGTGTGGGAGCCGAGGGTGAACGACGAGGCAGATTGCACGTGACAGGCGGTCGGCGGAGAAGTCACGAGCTGGCGCGAGACATTGCGAGCTGAGCGAGGCTGGAAGCTGGAAAAGAACGACGGAGCCGGGGCTGCCTAGCCTGGCCCATAACGAACCCCGGAGCGGTCCACCAGCGAGGTCTGGAGCAAGACCGGTGGAAACGGCGAGCCCGGGCCATATGACCTGGGCTATGACGATCCCGGGGTGGTTCCGCAGCGAGACTCGGGCATTGATAGCCCGGGACAGCCAGCCTACGCAGCGCTGGCGTGGGAAAGGCGATCCGCAGGCCTGGACACGGACCCCGACTGTGAGCTCTGATCGACGGGCGACAACAAAGGTCGGCGGGCCTGGACTACCGGCTCTCGACGACGGGCAACCGAGAGGTACAGTTAACCCATTCGCTGTCTTCTCGTTGCAATGTGTGATTCCCTGGGTGACGGGCGGAACGCATACCGATCGGGCGACGATTATTAGGATAGAGGGACCTCCCCCGTAAAAGAAACCCAGATTAAAATGCATTTTAATATGGGGGTTCTTTACGGAGGAGGTCCCTCTATCCTAATAATCGCCGCCCGATCGGTATGCCTTCCGCCCGTCACCCAGGGAGCTACACACTGCAACGAGAAGACAGCGAATGGGTTAACTGTACCTCTCGGTTGCCCGTCGTCGAGAGCCGGTAGTCCAGGCCCGCCGACCTTTGTTGTCGCCCGTCGATCAGAGCTCACAGTCGGGGTCCGTGTCCAGGCCTGCGGATCGCCTTTCCCACGCCAGCGCTGCGTAGGCTGGCTGTCCCGGGCTATCAATGCCCGAGTCTCGCTGCGGAACCACCCCGGGATCGTCATAGCCCAGGTCATATGGCCCGGGCTTGCCGTTTCCACCGGTCTTGCTCCAGACCTCGCTGGTGGACCGCTCCGGGGTTCGTTATGGGCCAGGCTAGGCAGCCCCGGCTCCGTCGTTCTTTTCCAGCTTCCAGCCTCGCTCAGCTCGCAATGTCTCGCGCCAGCTCGTGACTTCTCCGCCGACCGCCTGTCACGTGCAATCTGCCTCGTCGTTCACCCTCGGCTCCCACACTCTCCCCCCCTCAAGGCCCGGACTTCGGGGGACTTCATGGGCCTCAGGGAGCCACTGGACTTCATGGGCGACCGCTGTTGCTGTTGCCGGAGTGGCCAGGTTGCAGCGTCCGAAAGCGGCGTAGGTGGTGGTGGCTAGCGAAGCCGGCAGACAATGCCGACCTGTCTGTCGCTCGCTGTCTCACTCACCGCGATGCAGCAGGGGGCTTGCTCTAAGCTGGTCCGGCCGATGCAGACGGACTTGCCCCGTTCCGCTTAGAGGTCACAGCGGGCTTAGAACTGCCCGCCTGAACCGTTCGTCAGGCCGAACAACTGTCAGCCACCCTGAGCACTTGGGAAAACGAATGGACCCGTCTTCCCTCCCGGTGGGCTTCCTGGGTTACGCCGTCTATGGCCATCTCTCCAGGAAGCTACTCTGCGCAGAACAAAGTGTTAAAACAACACACAACGAACAAATACTCTGCCGCAGATTGTGGCAGTGACCATAACTTTTATTGGAGAATCCAGACTTCCCCCAGAATCTCGCAAGAAGACATGTGATCCTATAGTTATAAGTGAAACCGGAAGTAATTCTCTACGCCATTCTTGTGCAATCTACTAAAAAAAATGTTTGTACGTAAAGCTCGTATTAATGTCATAAAGGAATAGAGATCCAGCAGTAAAACTCTGGTAGGAGTTCAGTGGTTCTCTACATATTCGCCGCGCAGTCACATGCTTTTGCCAGCGATGTACACGCTGCCGGAGGCCATGGTTATAGAACACCGTTTTGGATGATCAGGGACTGCTCCTCTTCAGCAATCCTTTGGTCGTCGTCCTTGAAAAGTTTTCCACGCAATGGAGTCTTCGTGCGAGGGTAGAGGAAGGAAACACCAGGCACGAGGTTGGTTGAATAGGGGGTAGGACGCAAAATTTCGAAATTTGAAGGGCCGAGTGTGACAGCGTCGCCTGTGCCGAGTGAGCCGGGGCATTGTCAGAAACCAGACGGACTCCTTTCATGAGCTCCTCTTGCGCTTTACCTTGATAGATTTTCGCAGCTTTGTCTGAAGCTCAAGATAATTGTTTCCTGTGATTGTTTGACCTTTGTGAGCATAATCCGTTATATCAAAGGCATAATCTGTTATACCAAAATACCAAAGGACAAGTGCATAACGTTTTTAACCAGAGCGAGCCGAAGATTTACAATCAAAAGCAATAACTGAACGCCACTCTCGAGTCGACACTTAAAATACTCTTTCTTTCAAGGCACATTGTTGATTGTGACATATGTTTCTTCATTTGTAGACCAACTCTCATCATTTTTATCACCTGCTAAATGTTCGCGCTATCACTGTTGCTACTTTGCTGGAACTGATGTTTTTGTTTTCAATTTGGTACATACGACTTTTTTAAATTTAATTTTCCCGACGTGATATTGACGAATGTTTGTTTGTTTATTATTTGTATTCAATGCCCGGGTAAAGTGGGACCACACTCTTATTGAAGTTCCTTTGTTGAAATGCTTTTGTATGACACCTCTTACATTTTTGTAAGAACTAATAGTGTCATTAAATAAATAAAATAATAATAAATAAAGAGAACACCGCGGCAGTTCAGTTCAGGCTCAGCACGACCTTTCCCGACGACGGCACAATCCTGGCCTTTTTTGGCGCTGGTGAGTTCACGCGTGCTGCCACTGTTTGCTTTGTCATTTTGCATCTGGATCATGATGAACCCAGCACTCTTTCATATATAGTGATGAGTGTTCGGATGTTCCCCTGTTTTGGTCCCCCTTTTTGAAATTTTTGGCGCCGATAATACGAAGTTTATGAACCCCCTTGTAAGTCCTGCCCCTTCATAGCTTCTTATGGAAAATAATTCGTGTTCCTGGGTTAGGACAGCCCCTTTCGAATAGTCGCATCTAAAATAACAAATGAACAGGATTAGAACGTCAAGAAGGACATTCAGTTGTCAAGCCTCCCGAGCGAGCTTCCTCCGATAACGATTCAGTGTCTGGTGAGCCTCCAGCGTGCACGCGCAGTCGAAGTGCAATTGAAGACAACGAGCTCGCGCTGGGGGTCCGGGCACCGCAAAGACGCGTCCTGCCGTTCTCACCCTCAAAACGTCTTCTTAGAAAAAGTTCCTGCAATTTATTCAGTAGCAAGAAGAAAAAAAAAAAAAAGAGCCCGTGGAAGCAAAATTAAAACAATAAGCCACGGATATCGCGGGGAAGTATAGTCAATGACTGATGCGCAGCAACCTGCTACTTTGACACCACAGCAAGACGGCGATGACTAGAGAGATAGCCAGTCCCACCGGAGGACGGCACAGTTCACTGGAGCCAGACGAGAACGCCTGTTGGCAGAACACGAAGAGGAAGTCGATGACCGAGGTGTTGTACGCCGACGTGGCCTCCGGTCTGCAGCCGGACTTGCTGAGGGCGCGTGACAGGCACTTGGTGTGGCGCAGCATGCTCAGGCAGTCCTGCTGCTCCGCCTGGAACCGGAAGATCCGCTTCCACGTCGTGGCCGGTTCGAAGTTGGCTGCCCTGCAGCCACCGGCGTTGTTGGCCACCTTCAGGATGCAGTGTCCGTCGTAGAAGAGATCTGCCAATCAGGTCACCGTATTAAGGCTGGCACGCACTTGCGATTGCTTACTACCGTGTGCCTATCAGCCTTTTAAAATCTCTTGCGACGAAAAAACACACTGGAGCCATCTATCGGATAGCCGTGGAACGCTTGACGTTTTCGTATATTTTCTATATTTTTCGCCGATCAATCTTTTTTTCTTGGCTTGAAAAGCTTCTTGGCAATTTTATAAACGACAGTTTCTCATAGATAGAACGTACATTTCAGTTCGCAAATACCGCAAAACCTTCGCTCTAGTGAAATGCAGCTCCAGGGTCACCTCACAGAGGGCGTGAGCGTGCGAGTGCATTCTCTCGTCGTAAGAGGTTGTAATAACACGGTCATATGCAAATGAAAGTATGCGAACGGCTGTTTGGCCCTCATTCGTAGTTCATTGCACAGAGCGTTAATTTTATATTTGCAATGGGTGAAACAAAGCCTAATGGATCGATCTCGCTACTCGTCCCACGCAAGCGTGACTCCGCCAGAACTGTATTCTACAGAGGGCAGGCGGCAGTGCACAAACCAGCTCCTGCCCTGCTCGCGGAGACTCGCAGCAGAGTTGTCCCGTGCGCAGAAAGCCTATAGTTCTCACAATGCATGGCGACCGCGGCGACCTAACGAAACTGGCTGATGAGATCGGTCTGTTGAACTGCGATTATGGCCAAACGGTCAATTTCGTGGCAAGTACGACTGCCACACGGAAGTAAGGACGGTGAGATTATTTTGTCACAATTCCAAAACATAGTTTTGAGCCATAGCGATACGTATTTCCCCCCTTCATTTTGCCGCTCTTGTTTTAAATTTTACTCGCTATAATTCTGTCTTTCCAAAGAGAGCAAGTTTTGCGAACATCAATATATTTATTTTTAAGTTCAAAACGAAAATCGTGGGATGGAAGCTTGGTATGGTAATTACGTGGAATCTAACCTTACAAAAGTAACTAATTACCAGTGGACATCTCAGAGGAAGAGCGGGAAAGGCGGGATGGATGGAGGGGCTCTAGCGGCGCCATGTACCTAGTACCTACCCTGCAATGTCTTCCTGTCAACACCACAGAGCAGCTGGAAGGAAGAGACCATGGCCTTCAGGAGCCTCTCGAAGTACGCTCTGCGGACTCCGCCTCGGTCGTCGCAGTTGAGGTAGTGGTACACGTAGCACTCCAGCAGTTCGCCGAACCCACTGCACGCGGAAGGTGTGGTGGGGTGATAAAGAAAGGACAAGATTACGGACGATATCTCACGCAGACATGTCACTCTTTCACCGCATGGCTGTTTAGGAAGCGGGCTTTTTGGCTTGGCTCGGACAACTAAGATATTTTTCAAAAGTCCATCAAGCAACATTGGCGGTCGCCATTGATTGGCGACTAGGCTAGGTGGCGTAAGCTGCCGCCTGATATCCATCCATCCACTGCACACGAAGTGCGTGAGTGGACCCAAGTCCTCGCCGAACGCTGACGAAGCCATCGTGCCCAGTACATGCTCAGAGTACATGAACAAGTAATGGCAGACAGGAGTTGTCGCGGACTTTTGAAAGGCGTACCTATAAATTGATTATACATATTGACAAGAAGAATTCACGTGTAATTCTGATAATTCTGGGGTCATGCCTTATTAGTCCGATAAAAATGAAATTTCTTTCGAACGTCACTCTCATTCAAGAAGTAACGCTGCGCAATGGCAACATACGCCGTTTGACCTACTACTTTCGCGTAGCCTTTGCCGTCCTAAAGTTCTTGGATAAAACTTACACTTCGCTTGAAGCAGGGTTGGGCAGAAATACTCAAAAATGTATTTGGAAATACACATACTGGGATACATTGAAATAGTAGCTAAAATACTGATACTAAAATATTTCTGCAAAAGTGTATCGCGATACGTATCGGAAATACATATTAAATAGAGGCAAAAAGTATTTGAAAATACAAATACAGGAATATATTTTAGGGTGGGCAGAAATACAAATACAGAAATACTGATCCTGCGATACATTTTTTTAAAAATTTGTTTGAGATGCCAACTGAGATGGAGCTTGAAATTTGAAGTTGAAGTTTTTGACCCCGAAATTACTTTTTCTGACTTTCGGCGCTTTGCCTTGAGGGTAGTGATTTTGGACAACGAAAAATCTTAAATGGGCTCAAAAAGAAAAAAAAAAAAAAAAAAGAACCGTTCCATTAGTGACTGACCAAGGTCCCTTCGCTGACATTCTGTGTGTTTGACAAGGAGTGCGAAAACACTTCGACCTCTAAATCAATTCTATGTCAACATAAATCCCATCAAAACGTCGCCACGCCCCTGTCCAATAAGGACGCCCCTGTCAACATTTATCACGTGACGTCACGGTGGAATGAACTGGTATTCTCTATGTGTAGGTGTGGCCTTGAACATGAAACTTTACTACGCTGCTGTTGTAGGTTGCCTCGTTGAAGATCGTGCAGGCAGTGTCATTTGGAATTTTTGAGAATAGTGGACCACCTGAAGAATCCTGGAACACGTCTTATCTTCTGTTACGGTTGAAAAATGATAGGGTAGCATCCCTGTTGTGAAGGTTTTTCTTACCGACGCTCTGCCACCGACGCATGAATTGCAGTCCTCAAGTTTCGCCGAGCATCATCTAAACACAGACATCGTGGATTGCGACCTGATATTGCCGGCACAGGTGCGAGCCCTCCGAGAAACAGCGCGCTCGAGACGAGTCGCAATTGTACGAAGTATGGGTCGGCACACCGAGGCCACGTCTGGCCTCCTTCCTAGGTTTCGGATCACCACAGCAGCGGGTCACGTTCACGTCGACTGAGGACGTACCCTTGAGCCATGCAATATTCCTGGCACAGCCGCAGACGCATTCAATTATGTGTTGAACTTCACTGCGTGAGTTCAACACATAATTGTTCATGCTACTATTTCAAGTCAATCACCACCACGCTCGTGCTGCAACGGACTGTGACTCAGCTTTGCCGGGTGGGTGTACTGTGTACGCTAAGGCAAGAGAGACGGTTACCAGTGGGCATTGGATGCCAGAAAACAATGAGTCAAAAAATCCCTGCCTAAGGACCTACGACAGAAGATGCTCTGACTCCTCCCCTGGCACGCCACCTGGTTCGAATCCCCGACTACGCAACACTTCTCAGAAGAGAGAAGAGGACGCATAGAAAAATAGTTTGCAGAATTGGTAGGAACCTTTGTCAGCATAGTAATAATGGCCCAGCAACACCTTGAACCTAATGCCCTCAAAAGCTAAAAAAAAAAAGCGTTTAAACTTTCTTTTTTTTCGGAGAGAGAGAGAGGGGGGGGGGGGGGTAAGTATTCCTCAAGAAATGTAACGAAATACATTTCATCTTGATTGTATCGCGATACAAAAAAAACGTTCCATATGTATTTCGATACAGGAATACAGATACTGGTGAAAAAAATGTATCGCGATACAGAAATACAGATACGAAATGTATTTCTGAAATACTATCGCGATACGTATCGCGATACTGCCCAACCCTGGCTTGAAGTTTGGCGTGCATAAGGCACCCGTTGAATTGGAAGAAGCGGTGTTATGAAATCGAAAACTGTCTTACTGCTTTAACTCACAAAAGAAACAGGCAAAAAGTTCGAGCACGATCTCAACAGTCTCTCTATCCGGTCTGTGGCGCAGTGCAAACCGCGTCGTTCCCCTAGTTCAAACATAATGGCAAGACACACGCAAGCCGGTAAAAGTTAAACAAGATGGATTTTCCTGTCTATACAAGTCGCACCGTTGTTTAAGTCGCACCCCTTTATGAACGAGCGTTTTCACCAAAGCAAGGTTGGTATATAAGTAGCACTTAAATATCTGTAGGGTCGGAGCGGCAAAACAGCATTGACAAGCCTGCAAATATGTATTGTGATCGCGACATGCGCACAAGCGGGAGGCCGTTCCAACATTCTCGTCCACGAATCGAACGACAAATATAACCTCCGCGGAAAATGATCAAAGTTAAGGTTCGCACTCGAAGGAAAAAGAACCGCATATAAGTCGCACCGGTTTGTAAAACATACCAACAAAAAAATTTTGTTAAAATGTGGCAGTTACAACTCTGAGACTTGAGTCTGAAGTGGACAGCTCGACGGTTACTAAACAGCTTCACATTCTTGACGACTTTCGTCGTTATTCTTGTGCACCGCATCTCCCGGTCCCGTGTTTACCTTGACCCAAGGCGTTTTGGTAAGGACTTCTCGCCACAGCACCGAGGCCAGTAAACGAAACACAACTATAAGCTGCATTCTAGAACCGACATACGGCTTCTACTTGAAAGGGGGGTGAGGGCCGTGCCTTCTCCGTTGCGTCCCAAACAAATAGATGGACGTCACGCACGCTCGGGACGCGAAAACCGAAACCACGCAGTGTAAACGAGGCTGTGTCTGCTTTCTGTCCGCCATCGCAAACGAGACCGGCGAGGAGACGGCGCTTGGCGCGTGTCAAACGCTCACGGAGGCGTCTTGGTCTTGGTGGTGAAACAATAGAGAGCTCTAGAATACGAAGCCCCCACGCTCTGTGTTCCCCGAACTGTTTGAGGCGTCGCTCCGCGCATGCGCAGGACTTGTGAGCATGCGCAGTGCGACGCAATAAAAGTTATTAGGCCGCGTGTATGGAACCCACCTGCGTGGAAATCGTGAAATCAATTGGGTGATTTCCCGTGCTAAAGGGACAGCGTTGATCACATCCACACTCCCCCTCCCCCTTTTTTTGTTACACTGCCATCTTTGTGTTACCTCTAAAATTTTGTGTTTGTTTATATTACAACGTTAAAGGAGCCATGAAACGATGTTTCTGCTTTCGCTAGATACTACTTAGAATCACTCCCTAACGTTAATAACTGATTAAACTTCTAGTTTTCCTCTTTCTAGGCAATGGCAGTCGCCGAAAAAAATTCGACAAATGCGAACATCGTTCATCCCCTCAACTCGGAGTGGACTGGGAGCCAGAACAAGCAACGTGGACTGGTGCCTATCCTATGCCGCCAACGTTAACCAGACCCACGCGCTGGGGTTGTCAAAATAAATACAAAAAAAAAAAAGAAAAACACGCGCTGAGCTCCAGACATTGTCAGAGTTCGGCTATTCTCATCACCGCAGTGGTTGGAGACGAGCCACTACCCGAGGTCCGCCGAGGCATTGGTTGTTACAAGCCGAAGTCGAGGGATCACGCAGTTCTCGTGTCCAATCCATGAGCCGCGCTCGGCTGTCGTCAAATGGAGTGGTTTCGATCCCACAATCACGTCAACAAGCTTTGCGAAGGCAAGACTGAAAGAAATAGTTCAATTTTATCCTCTTGATTTCACCGCGACAAAGAGGTTTCTGAATCAGTGGCGATTTGTGAAAGTATGGTTAGGCCGGGCCATACTCGTTTTCACCTAACGAAAAAATTAAGTTTTGCGCGTTGTTCATACGACACGCGAAGTAGTTCTTACAGGATTTGGAGGTTCGGAGGAAGAAGTGATGCTTTCGACGTTTAAAGCGTGCGAGTCTTCATAAGATAACATATACATAATCTAAAATGCGCCTACATATATCATCATTCTCTACGTAATGGGGGAAATTACACGCTAAAAAAAAGGGGGTGTAGCCCTTATACCCCTTGTCACATATACGACACCCCTAAACTTCAGTTGGGCGTACAGCGCACTGACGTTCAACCGACGCTACCAACTTTCACGAGTGGCTTGATAGCTGAGTTGTACAACTTATTAAAATAGTTTACGTAAATGTAACTGACTGTAAAATATATATATATATATATATATATATATATATATATATATATATAGATATATATATATATATCGGGGTTTTCTTGGTTCTACTGCAAAACCTCAGTGAGCTGTTTAATATCTCATATCTCACCGTCATCAAGCCTCTCGTAGAAGTTGGGGCCGTCAGCTTGATGTCAGTGCCCTGTACGGCGAACTGAAGTTTTGGGGTGTCGTATATGTGACAAGGGGTGTAAGGGCTACACCCTTTTTCTAAGAGTGTAGTAGTGCTTCGCAAGGATCCGGACTTTGTTTTAATACTGTTCTTGACGTGAAAACGAAAAAAATACGAGTACCAAGGAGGTTATAAATACTAGTGGAGGGGGGGGGGGGGGGAGGGGTATGTTACAATAATTGTGAAGCATAGCTATAAAAAGGTGAAACGATTGTTTGGCCAACGTGA